TAGGTAATAAAATTAATTTAATTATTAGTAATAATTAATTTAACTCGTCAATAATTTAGTTACTAACTAACCAAACCTACTAAGAAAAAAAAAAAAGTAAATGAATTTTTTTTTTTTATTCAAATACTTCATTCAGCATACATTATGTAAATTTCTTAAAATTAATTTGTTTGTAGTTTGGAATTAAGCACAAAGCTACACAATGGGCTATCTGTGCTCTGCCCACCACGGGTATCGAAACCTGGTTTCTAGCGTTGTAAGTCCGCAGACATATCGCTGTGCCACTGGGGGGCATTTCTTAAAATATGAACACACTAATTATTTATGAAAAAGGTGTAGATTTATTAAAATTATCTATCTGAAGATTACAAAATAGTTTTCACACACACACAGAATGGTAACTCACTGGAATTTAAACTGGGTTACAATAAATTCTCACAAGTCAGAACAAATATACATTAAAATATTTTTAAATTCGGAGAAAATAATCATTGTTGAAAACACCTAAAAAAAGAGTATGAATGTAAATGTCCTACATGGCATTCTAGTTTATACTGGACCAACCACTAGATGGCTCTAAACAGGCATAAAAACATGAAAATCTGATGATCAACAAAAACTTATGTATAATTAATCAAGCTCTCAGTGAATTAATGTAATGGTAAATAACAGTTCATTTAAGATACACTAATACTTTGTAATGATCACTTAAATATCAAACAAACCATACCTTAACTAAGGCCCAAATAGCTTTTGCATGTAATAAAAAGATAAAATCATATCTGTTTAACTCACCAATGGATATTCCTGCATGAGAACCTGCACACTTTATATTGACTTGAGATATGGCTCCCATACGGAGTTGGTCAAAAGCTCGGGTGAAGAAAGCAGCAAAAGTGCTAACAAATGGAACTGTGCGTCCCCTTGTAGAGCAGCCAATAGCCATGCCAACAAGATTTTGTTCAGCAATGTAACACTCAACATAACGGTCTGGAAAAGCCTTCCTAAATTTATCTGAGAAAGTGGAATTTTTGGTATCTCCATCCATTGCAACCACTCGGTCACAGTTGTGACCAAGCTTTGTCAAGGCTGTGCCATAAGCTAACCTAGTTGCCACCTACAACAGAAATATTTTTAATGTTTAATACAAATTATTTACATGCTAAATCAGAAATAAAAGTATGAATTTCACTCACATCTGGTTAGAAACCCACGAGTGGTAGCCTTCTCAGTCACATAAACACATTTATTTTTAGACATTTATAGAGACTTTTTTTTAGATACCAACATCAAATTTCCAATATAAGTGTCTCTTAAAAATACCAAGTTTTAAATTGTTTACTGTAGATCTCCAAAGCTTCAAAAGGAAATCACCAAATGGGCTCCTAATAATGATAATCTAATTTAAAGACTTTGATAAGGAAATACACACACATCTTTAACATATAACTAGAACTTCCTACCATTGATATGAAGACAAAAAAACGTTACTGGCTTTAAATTTAATTTAAAATATGACAAGTTTTGTTGCAGAATATAAAGAAAGTAATCAAGGCTAAAATCTAAGTAAAAAGTTTTATTTGAATATCATTAAATTACATTAAGACATCAGTTACACCCATTTCTGAATACATTACAAATATAGTGGTACACAAAAATAAAACATGTTTTACAAAGAAACTCACTTTAAATTTGTAAAAAGTTACTTAACATTATCATCGCACACAATAAGAGGGTAAATGTACAATGTAATATAAACTTCTGCTTTGATAAGTCATGTGATGCACATACTTCAAAAATACATTGTCCAGAAAGCATGTTTTTATGTTTTAAGTACATTGTCTAGAAGTCATATTTTTATTTCTTAATTATACAAGACAAAAGACATACTACTTTATTTCAATCTTACTCAACTTATGTATATTTACTATAAACTTTTACTTGCCTTGTCTCCAATACTGGATTCCCACACACACACATGCCCATAAACCAGTCCTACACTATCTTTACTATAAACTTTTACTTGCTTTGTCTCCAATACTGGATTCCCACACATGCCCATAAACCAGTCCTACACTATCTTTACTATAAACTTTTACTTGCTTTGTCTCCAATACTGGATTCCCACACATGCCCATAAACCAGTCCTACACTATCTTTACTATACACGTTTACTTGCCTTGTCTCCAATGTTGTAAGTTGGGGGTTCAGATAAGGAGATATTAGAAATATCTACAACAGGAGCATCTTCCTTCAAAGGCTTTTGAGGACAGAGCTGTGGAGGACCCTGATTTGATACCAACTTCAGAATAGCATTAATGGCATCATCAGCCTTGTCTCCTAATGGCTTACCATGCCAGTTTTCTTGGTCCTCAATTTCTGTCAAAACAAATATTTCAAAGTTAAACAATCAAGATGTCAAACCACCCTAGGATGATACACAGAAATGTCATTACAAAACATTATACTTGTTTTATACAAAATATATTAAAACATTATTTCAAATTTAGTGTTTATCCTCTCTCACTCTTTATATTACTAAACAGTAGCGTGAGTAACAAATGCACTCACAACACTCATAATGTAATCCAAGTATTTTCTGAAGTTAGCTCAGAATATAATCCAAGTATTTTCTGAAGTTAGTAGGTTTGTTTTGGGATTTATTTAATTTTTGACTAAGTGATTTTCTCATATTGCTAATTACAATATAGCCATCCATAAACATATCTACAACATTTGTCTTGCACGTACATAATTATAATATAGCCATCCATAAACACATCTACAACATTCGTCTTGCATACACAATTACAATATAGCCATCCATAAGCACATCTACAACATTTGTCTTGCACGTACATAATTATAATATAGCCATCCATAAACACATCTACTACATTCGTCTTGCGCATACATAATTACAATATAGCCATCCATAAACACATCTACAAGATTTGTCTTGCACGTACATAATTACAATATAGCCATCCATAAACAGATCTACAACATTCGTCTTGCATGTACATAATTACAATATAGCCATCCATAAACACATCTACAACATTCGTCTTGCATGTACATAATTACAATATAGCCATCCATAAACACATCTACAACATTTGTCTTGCACGTACATAATTATAATATAGCCATCCATAAGCACATCTACAACATTTGTCTTGCACGTACATAATCATAATATAGCCATCCATAAGCACATCTACAACATTTGTCTTGCACGTACATAATTATAATATAGCCATCCATAAGCACATCTACAACATTCGTCTTGCATGTACATAATTACAATATAGCCATCCATGAACAGATCTACAACATTTGTGTTGCATGTAGGTAATTATCTTGATTATGGCTACAGTAATATACATCTAAACTGCTGCCTTTTGAGGTTATATTTTTTGTCCTAGTTTATTTAATGGTTTCATAACCTTACTTGTGCTGGAAAAAATACATCTATTAAAACTTTTCTATTATAGGATTCCCTTCACACCAATAAACCCTTCTTTTAGTCCTAAATAAAATGTACAATAAACAGTTACCTCTTCAGAGAACAATGTTTCACAGAAACAAGTTTCCGTGCTGTAACAACATTTTCCTGAGAAAGTTGTGTACTAACCTCGAATACCCTTTCCTTTAAACGTTTTGGCCAAGACAGCTGTAGGTTTATCTTTAGTGGCTGAAGCTTCATGAAAAGCCTTGCAGAGGGCTTCAACATCGTGCCCATCTATAACATAGGCATTAAAACTACAAGAAAAATAAAGAACAGAGAGCTTAAACATCATGCCCATCTATAAAATATGATTAAAATGCAGGAAAAAAAACATGACTAGAAACAAATTTTTTAACAAAAACATCATTCTCAAAAATAATAATACCCAAATGACTCTAGGCGGCCTTGATACAGCTCCATCTCGTGTTGAAAGGCAGTTGGTTCACTTTGGCCTAGACGATTAATGTCAAAGATTGCTACTAGGTTATCCAGTTTGTATTTGCCAGCAAAAGAAAGTGCTTCCCATATTGATCCTTCTGCAGCTTCACCATCCCCGATGACACAGTATACTCGATAACTATTCAAAATAAAAACATAGATACACACATAGTCTTTTAAAACTATAAATTTGATAATTATACTGATATAATGGTTAAAGACAGTTGTTTATCAATTCCCTGGTAGCAAGGAAAGGTTATCCAAACATCCTCTGTACTGTGTAATTTGGTTTATTCTTTTAATGTTATCATTAAATAATAAAAAGTAAAGAAGATTATATATATGCAAGTCAAGGTTTTGTGAAAGTGTTATACAACTCATTTCAATCTTTTATTCTCAAGTTAACTAAAACAAACATGTTAAATTTGGCAAGTCTATGTCTATAAAACTTGAATCACCTGGCCTTGTCAAAGTACTTGCCAGTGTACGCCATACCAGCAGCACAGCTAAGACCTTGACCTAAAGAACCAGTGGCCACATCTACAAAATTCAGTCTCTGGAAAACACAAAAGATGATGCATCTCAATGATGGATAGAAAACAAAATCAGTTCTAGATAATCATAAGAATATTTAACAGCTAGCTTCTTTCATTAATTTTCCATCTTTGATTCTGCTGTATGTAGTTGTATATTTGCTTTTATGATAATGCATTCAATGTTTTCACTATCTAGGTATTAGAGTAGGTACTGAAGGTTTACACCGAGAAAGTCACAACTAGTATTCTCTGACCATCTTATGAAACTTTTCAACTCAAGTTCATATCTAAAACCCAGATGTGACACACTTCACTTACAGGAGTGGGATGGCCCTCAAGATCGGAGTCAATTTTTCTCAGATTTAGTAGATCATCTATGGGGAAAAGTCCAGCTTCAGCCCAGGCAGCATACAGTATAGGTGCAGCATGGCCCTTAATGAGATTATAAAATTAGCTCAAAGTTAATGAACAATAAAACAATAATAAATAATGTAAATTAACATTCCACATTTTGTTGTTGTTTTTATGAAAACAAAATGATATATCTGTTTACAATATTAGTTTTTAGTAAAGCTATTTTGTTTATATCAAACACATTCGAAGTTCATTAAATAATTATGACAATAATTAGTGAAAGTAAATAGTAAAACTACTCTGAGTGTTAGTTTTACATGGAAATCAAGGTGCTACTAACACATATTTAGATATTGTAACATTTAAGGTAAATTAAACTCTCATTTTTACTAATTCACACAAGTTTACTGAATTTTCTATTTTTGCAGTAAAGAAAAATAACTTTTTTGAACAAGACCAATCACAATAAATTTACTGACTAGTCCAAAAGTGGTCAAAATCACTGACCTCTACAAAAAAGATAACCCTTACCTTAGAAAGGACAAATCGGTCACTTGATGCATTTCTGGGCTCCGAAACTTTATACCTCATTGTGTGGAAGAAGAGAACTGACATAATTTCAGCCATGGAGCAGCATGATGTTGGATGTCTTTAGAAACAATAAATGTTAAAAAACTGATTTATGCTAACTGTACAGACAAAAAACGAGGAAGAAACACATGGATGTCTTTAGAAACAAACCCAGCACAATAAACATTAAAACTGATCTATGCTAACTGTATAGACAAAAAAACAAGGAAGAAACACATGGATGTTTTAGAAACAAACACAGGACAATAAACATTAAAACTGATTTATGCTAACTGTATAGACAAAAAACAAGGAAGAAACACATGGATGTTTTAGAAACAAACACAGGACAATAAACATTAAAACTGATCTATGCTAACTGTATAGACAAAAAACAAGGAAGAAACACATGGATGTTTTAGAAACAAACCCAGCACAATAAACATTAAAACTGATCTATGCTAACTGTACAGACAAAAAAACAAGGAAGAAACACATGGATGTTTTAGAAACAAACACAGGACAATAAACATTAAAACTGATTTATGCTAACTGTACAGACCGGCGTGTCCTTTACAGACGTGTAGCTAAACACAAAGACAACACACAAGCGTGTCCTTTACAGGCGTGTAGCTAAACACAAAGACAACACACAAGCGTGTCCTTTACAGGCGTGTAGCTAAACACAAAGACAACACACACACACTCTTCACAACACACATACCCCTACCAGATAAACTTTATGCAGACTATTAACTGAAAAATTGTCAGATTAGCCATGCATAACGAAAACCGTTTAAATTAATTCTTCAGGTGGTCATTACTAGAGTATGATTAGTTCATGTAAAATGACTGTAGTTGTAAGTGTCAGTGAGGAAAGCAGCAATAAGTGTTTTATTTGCAGTGAATTGGTTCAGTGGATAAGTAATGTTACACTTCCAACAGCATTAATCAGTCCACCAGGTAGGTTCAATACATTAACGTTTAACAATTAAATCTACAAAACTTAATTAGGGAGAGAAAAAAAGGACATCGTATATTGTCCGTTTTGTCAAATACAGTATGAACTTACCCACTACCTGCTGCATTAGTAGATCTTATGGAATCAATTCTTAGCATATTGGCAACATCCCTTAAATCGTCTTTCTCCACAGTTTCGTCTACTTTATATCCTCGTTTAATTTTAAGGGGAAGACAGGGACAAAATATGGGCATTTCTGATGTACAATTCTAAGCAAACAGAAATCTATGTACCTAAAACACCCTTTTCTTCCGTCTGAATTAACTACTCGTCAATATCTTAAGTTTACCAAATTTAGCATACACAAGAGTCATTTAATTTAAGTACGCTACTATTTTGTATAATATATTAAAACATTCAAAACCTGTGCATAACCAGAGCACTACGTTGCAGAACTGGATACGTTTAACCTAGATGGTTTAACTCTACCAATCTGGTCTATTTGCTGGATTATTGGCATCCGTTAACTTGTTGTCGGAAGAGAAAAACCGAATGGAACGCGCAGAAGAACAATAAAAGGTAACATTGTGAACAGTTCTGTTACTATAGTAACCAGTTAGCCGCTTATAGGTAACCAGGTTGCTCGAAAGAATATGAACTTAAGAAACGGGAACAGAGCAGAGTAACGTCACATTTCACTTAATTGTATTACATTTTCTTTTTTCCTTTCACTCGTAAGTTCTTAGAAACTTAGAATTAACAAAAAGCTGCATATTACCATACGATTATATAAAATTTATTTTATACACTGATCATAATCCTCTCAATATTACTTTGTTTCCCCTACAAGAGATGTACTGATGGTAAAAACTGAAGAAAAATAATAATAACGTCACTCGCGTGACGATAACAAGAAGGGCAAGAAACGAGCGAGATGCACGAGAGTATACAATACGTACTCACCACGATCTTTCCGTGAAAAACAATAACTCCAAACTTTTTACAACCGCTGGAAAGAAACACGTGAACACCCGGAATGTGTGGGGGTCATAAAATTCGTCCGAAGAACACAAACTCCAAAAACGCAGAGAAACATCCTAGAGACATACCGACCAAACTCGTCACAAGAACAAGAAAATATCCTGAAGACATATTGAAAAAAGTCGTCAGAAGAATAAGGAAACATTCTGGAGTCATACTGACCAAACTCGTCAAAAGAACAAGGAAACATCATGAATACATACCGAACAAAGTCGTCTGATGGACAGGAAAACATCATGGAGACATACTGACCTAACTCGTTAGAAAAAAAAGAACAAGGAAACATCCTGAAGACATATCGACCAAACTCGTCTGATGAGAAGTGGAATATCCAAGAAACAAAATGACAACGAATATTTTATAAAATAGACTTAACAACAACAAAGATTATAAAAACTATAACTTAACGTCAAATAGTTATCGTTTAACATTTTATACCATTGAACTATTTAACGAAGATCTATAACATCAATTAGGAGAATGATGGTTGCTAGAAACTTTAAATATTACAGACGCCATAGGAACGTAATCATAATAGTTTTTATTTGATAAGACTGATGATAAGCCCGTACACTAATGTATCCACATTTCTCAAAGAAACAAACCAGTGAACAGAAAAACAAAAAAAAAACAAAAAAATCTGTATACCTTCTCGAACCAACCGAGAAAAAAAAAACGATCCTGGCAATGAATAAGGTTAGAAATATAGCGCCCAATAACTGTTTTAGATCATTATATTTCAGTTACTTGAAAGTTTACGCTTCATTGTTAAGTCACAACTTTAATAAAAAATGTGTATCTACAGTTAATCACTGCATATAACATTTAAGGTTTCAAAATATCAAGTTCAGATATCCTCATTACATAATCCGTTCTTGCAATGGATCAAACTAATCCTTTCTATGAACCAACCTTTTCGTTGAACAATTAAAGCTTTATACTATTTAGTTTTGTGATTTGTTCGTAAAATAAATTAAAGACTTAACTTTGTGTCTCAGTATATGTAGGATTTTACACTTTTTTCGTCACAGAATAAATATTACTAATATGTGCTTTCGTGCTAATGTATAAAAATTGTAAAGGTTAATTCTTACACAACAGCTAACAATTTGTACAACCTTGGTACAAGGTTATCAATATACTCCATCAAAGAGCGCTACTACGTTGTACAAATATATAAACACCTATAAAACAAATCAGGAAATACCCGGATTCTTCACATCAGTGGCGGTACAACACCCCCCCCCCCAAAAAAAAAGAAAACCAAGCAATTCTTAATATTATAAGATCTCCTATTAAGGAAGGGGGAAACATTTTCCTGGTTAGCGCTTGCTTGGTCAGAACAAGTTAATTACGTGGGTTTACTTGTCTCTGGTACACCAGAAGCTGTACTTTGAACATAACGTTCCCACAATTTTTTTTTTAAAACGAACAATGAATGAATTCCTTACGTAGCACAACACTTCTTCCCAGCCAATGAGACGCAACTTTGATAAACTTAAATAGGTTTGAACACGATATGAAACCCTTTTGTCGATCACTTCTACAATACAGGTGCTTAGTAGCACGCCTACTTACAAATAAATTATATATGTACATAAATATAAATATGTGTACACACTTATATAATACAAGTTTTTTGTTTTAAACATTGTTACAGGTGTGGTTTGAAATACAGATCTTAGTCGTGTTAGAAAAGGAAGTTCCAAAGGGAAATCCCTTCCCTTCTTGGTTAGTCTGTTCTTGAAACATTTAGCTACTCCTAAAATCCTTTCCTGGAATACTGACATCACTTGATTCATCCAAAGGTCAGCAACAGACAAGACTTCATAATCCCTAGCTTGGATATCGTAAGAGAAAGAATTGACTAGTTTGAAAGGTGTGTGTTTGCACTACTACAATAATTCTATAATATACACTAATAAACAAAATTTTATAATAAATAACTATTTATATATGTCTATAATATCATGCATGACTCAGGCTTGACCTATTCTGAGCTTGCTAACTGGTGAAGTATAACTGTCTTGCAGCTGTACCAACCAATGTCTACATTTATAACTTTCTAATGAATAGCATGAAACTATTCCTTTAATTACAGCTTCACAAGATGCTGTAGTTCTCAGTCAGAAAAGGTATAAGACTACTTAGAAAGTAAATGAAACATGTTATAACCTCTGAAAATATATTAATACTCCAGCATTTTACCTTTTAAATCCATTCTTCCCAAAGTATTTTAAATCATAAATGAACCAGAATTCAGTACCCCATTCAATTATACACTTAAGACCTGAAAATTACATGAAAACATGTCATTATATCTTACAGATGAAAACTGTTCACAGCTGAAACTCTAAAAGTTAATGACAAAAAATAAGGTTTTTTAGATACAAACAGTGTCTAATTGACAATACTACATAATCTACAAGAAGAAGAATGTTTTCAAGTTTTCTAAAAACATTACCTTAAAATCAACAGTGCCATTTGATTCAATGAGCAGTATGATTCAGTCAAATATTCCTAGCCTAAATAGGTAAAGTCAAGAATCAAAATAACTACTGATGGTAGTACTTAACCATTAACTACTAGTACTAGAGCGACTTATGGTAGGGTAAACAAACCCCCAAAGTATTTGTTTTAGAAGAACTATGATTTTTCTAAAATATTGCCTTACCAAACTGTTAACTTTTCTTGATATCTGGACAACTTAAAGGGTGTGGACATGTGTACTTAAGATTTCCCTAATGCTTTTAATGAGGTGTTACAGAGAAGATTAGCTAATAAAATCACACCTGTTCAAGAAAACAATTAATTTGATTATAGGGTGGATGGATAAGAAAAATCAAAATGTTTTTATTAACAGACTGAAGTCATGGGTCAGAGCTTTGGACTTTGGCTTTACTGATTTACATTAATGTTTCCGATAGGGGAATAATTACTAAATAATAAAGTTTGCTGATGACATTAGACACTTACTTATTTCTAACTGTATCGAGGATGTTAATGTACTACAGAATGACTTTGATCAACTGATTAATTGAACAAATGTTTGGTAAATGACTTTAATCACAATAAGAGCAAGGTTATATATTTTTGTTATCATACCTAAGATCACACGTTTAATATAAATGGGAGACCACTCAGTAGAATAACTGAAGAATAGGACCAGGGCATAGTGGAGGATAAGTTACTGAGGCAGTAATGTACTGCTAGTTATAAAGCTAATAGTATTTTATAGATGTATTGAATACTAGTCAAATCTGTTGGTCTCCTTACTTCAGAAAGGACGTTGGCTTATTGAAAAGGGTTCAGATGAAGACTACAAGGATGATTCAGGTGATATAAGGATTATGTTATTGGGATAAATTAAGATCTCTTATTTTCTCTTGAGACAAGTAGGGTAATAAGATTATCCAGGGTTCATTTGTACTGTATTCTAAAGACAAGAAGACACAAGAATTGGAAAAAGAAAGACTAGAACCTAAACAGAGTGAATAGCTTATGGAATGAGTTTGCTGTTAGCAGTAGTAGAAGCCAGCATTTGACAAGAGTTTAAGAGAGGAAAAAAAGGTGGGTTTAAATTTCTACTTTTCTCAAAGTTGAGTATGCAAGGACAGCTTTGAAAGATTAAATGATCCCTTTTTTATCCATATGTTATCTTAAAAAAACATATTGCATGCAAAAGCTCTCACTAAGCATGAGAATGCACATATCAATATTATTAAAAAATATATATATCAACAGAAAATTAGGGGTCATACAGAACCCACTTTAGCAGTTCAACATTAATATAAAAGTACTATCACATTTGACATCTCAATGTAAGTTTGATTAATCTAAAACATTTTTAACTACTTGGATAATACAACTGACAAAATTCGTATGTTCTGCACATAAATTAGTAAACGAAGCCTAGTGAGTTCCCCCCCCCCCCACCACACACACTCAAGGATGACAGTATCGTTAGTTATAGTTAGTGTTTACGCTGCTACACGTTAAAAGTGACTACTGTACACAACTCGAAAAAGGAAACTATCTTAGTGTCTATGCAAGCTAAAAAATCTCGTTTTCATTAATAATAGTTCGTTTATAAAAATCGAATTAAAAAAAAACACTATAGTTATTAACACTAAATAACTATAAACATTTTCCAGCTTCTTAACAACTAACAAATTATGACAAAATGAACAGCAAATGAACACCGGCTCACGAGAGACTTAAGACTTTCGATTTCTAATTATATTTGTGACAGTATAACCAGAAATATATTATATATATGAAAGTAACTTACCCAGATTTCCCTGCATTAGTGGCCCTTATACTATGGATTCGAAGTTTGTTAGCTATATCTTTCAGTTCCTGAAGAGTTTTTGCATCCGGACAATGATATTCAGCCATTATTCTCAAGAAACCGCAACTGTCCATGCAGATCACGCACTGCAGGTTAGGCTTTTATCAAGATTATTACCCGTGTAGATAGTGCTGTCCTCTTTCGATAAGTGTTGTAAAGACTAAATTATATTTTTGCACAAGAATAACATTCTTTACCTTTCTTAGTTACTGTTATTAACAACCTTAGTCATTAAAAATTTTCACATCTATGTATAAATGGCCAGATTAATACAATATCCTATTTAAGTTTTAATTTCTAATCTGTAATAATAAAAGGTCTTCTGTGGGTCTGTGTGTATGACTGCAAGAGGAAAGAACATAGAAACCTGAAATTTTACATAAGTACTAAATGGACCCTCAGGGTGTGCACCTGGATATTATCACTTATCCACATGCGTGCGCATCTTTTTGTGAGGTAAGCAAGCGAAAAACCACATAGAAAAGAATATGTGACCGCCATATTTCCAAGAGAAAATAGCCTAGAAACCTAAAATTTTGCACCTATAGTAACTGGGACCTGAGGGTGTGCACCTGATATTATTACTTATCCACGTTCGTGCACGCGTGCATCTTTTTAATGAGGCAAGCTAGCAAAAAAACCACATAGAAAAGAAGTGGTTCCTTATATAACAACTTCAAATATATAGAAAAGCCAATGCGTTTTGGTAATAATGCGTTCCAACAATAGCTTTTATATTATGTTGGTTAGCAATAAAAGTATAACCTAATATTATTG